CAGTTCCAGTAGCTCTGACACCCTCTTCTGGCCTCCAAAGGCACCAGGCACATATGTGGTACACAGACATATATACAAGCAAAACATCCATACACATAAAAAATTAAAAATACATTGCTAAATAAAAAATATCCAAATCAGTATGTATGAATATTGTCTGAATACTGCAGTATTATTCCTTACCAACACCATTATGAATGTACAGGACACTTTAAAAACTGTTCAACTATCAACGAGCAAACATTTAGTGGCAGTGAATACAGTGTGGCCTGTGACTACCTAGTGACACTGAGTACTGAATACAGTCACTGGAGGCCAGCTCTGGTCTTTCCAGGATGACCACTCCCAGGATGAGAAGCCAAATAGAGCTCAGGCAGGAATTTGGTCTCTCATATCCCAACACAGTGGCTGTGTCTTTCCTTAACATTATTGCTCAAGGGATGTAGAACAGATTTCCATCAAGCAATAGTGTTTATAAACACACACAGTTCCCAAGCTGCAGGGGAGTCTGCAGCAGGCCATTGTGTGGAAGGCTCAGGTGCCCACATTTTCCACCAGCTTCACTCAGGTCCATGGAGACAACCTGACTGTCAGCAGGTCAGAGATGTTTGCAGTGTGGGTGGAGTGTAGAACTGCACTCTGAAATGTGTCAAAGGAAGGATCAATCATTTGTAGCTCTGCTAGTGATGCTGATTTCTTCAGGCTAAAAACTCAAAAAGCTCGTTCACAGATCTAAAAACACCAACTGTGGAAAACACCTAACTCTCTCTCAGGGTGCAAAGGAAAGCTTGTTAAAGCTGAGATTGACATCAGATGTCAACCCCTTTAGACATACAAATCCTTTCTGCAGTTTCATACAGATGATGCTTACTGTGGAAGTGATGTTTTTCCGCCATCAAACACATCACTGGGAATGAAGGTTGCTTGTCTATCACACCAGTCTAGCAGCCCTAGTGTGACAATGGTGTGACCACCGACTTTGGCTTCATTGGCAGTGCCAAGGCAATCTCAGGTACACAGTCTTGGATCTTTCAGCTTGCTTTGTAGGTATTTTGGAACTCCTTGGGTTCTTTGCTTACCATTTATCTTTGAATAGTTTGTAAAGGATTACCTTTTAGTGGCAGGAATTTCAAAGGGAGGTTTCCTAATGGACTGGACAGACTACTAGTGTCGTTGTTGCTTAGGTCAAGCTTTCCCAAAGATGATAGTGGGGCTGTTTCCTCTGGGAGAGTTTAGCTTGTCCCTCAGGTCTGGCACAAGGGTCACATCCAAGGCTTAAGAAATTGCTCCTAGGGGCTGGAGAGATGGCTCAGAGGTTAAGAGCACTGACTATTCTTCCAGAGGTCCTGAGTTCAATTCCCAGCAACCACATGGTGGCTCACAACCATCTGTAATCAGATCTGGTGCCCTCTTCTGGCCTGCAGTCATATATGCTGTATACATAATAAATAAATAAATCTTTAAAAAAAAAAAAAAGAAAGAAATTGCTCCTAATGCAGTGGTTCTCAACCTGTAGATCGTGATCCCTTTGGGGGGGGGTCACATTTCAAATATCCTGTATATTAGATATTTACATTATGATTCATAACAGCAGCAAAATTACAGTTATGAAGTAGCAATGGAAATAATCTTATGGTTGGAGGGTGTCTTAGAGATTTTATTGCTGTGAAGAGACACCATGACCACAGCAACTCTTTTTTTTTGTTTGTTTTGTTTTTCAAGACAGGGTTTCTCCGTGTTGTTTTGGTGCCTGTCCTGGATCTCACTCTGTAGTCCAGGCTGGCCTCAAACTCACAGAGATCTGCATGGATCTGCCTCCTGAGTGCTAGGATTAAAGGTGTGAGCCACTCACCACTGCTCAGCTGACCGCAACAACTCTTATAAAGGAAAGCACATAATTGGGTGGCTTACAGTTTCAGAGGTTTAGTCCATTATCATCATGGTGGGACATGATGCCACGCAGGCACACATGGTGCTAGAGAAGGAACTGAGAGTGGAGAGGAACTACATCTTGATCCCTCAGGCAACAGGAAGTGATCTGTCTCACTGGGCAAAGATTGAATATATATGGGACCTCAAAGCCCGCCTTCACAGTGACACACTTCCTCCAAAATGACCACACCTACTCCAACAAAGCCACACTTCCTAATAGTGCTACTCCCTTTGGGGGCCATTTTCTTTTAAACCATCAAAGGGAGGGGGTCACCACAACATGAGGAACTAAATTAATGCATCACAGCATTAGGGAGATTGAGAACCACGACCCTGATGTTTCAGTTTATTCTTCATCTATGTGTAATTATTTCAATAGCCTACATGAAGGAAATTCTGGTAGAACACTCCATTTATTTCTTTATTTCTTTGCAAATAAAGTAATTCTAGTGATTCCACACTGGCCAACTCAGAAGGCACAGGCTCTAAGAGATTTGAACTACAACCCAAATGATTTAATCTTTTTATTTTTTTATTTTTTTGGTTTTTTTTTTTTCGAGACAAGGTTTCTCTGTGTAGCTTTGCGCCTTTCCTGGAACTCAGTTGGTAGCCCAGGCTGGCCTTGAACTCACAGAGATCCACCTGGCTCTGCCTCCCGAATGCTGGGATTAAAGGCGTGAGCCACCACCGCCCGGCGTTAATCTTTTTATTTTGCTTATTACTTTGGGCAGACACTTTAGTTGTCTACTATACAGATGGGATTGCAGCAGAATGGATAGAGAAATAAGGTAGCAGGCAGAGTTTTCAGATGATTGTTTGAAAGACTTAAATCTTCTAAACTAGAAAGGTTCAAATCCCTCTAGTACACAAGTTGGTTTATTTTGATATACAGCACCTTCAGGTTTCTTATGTTTCTAATTTCTTTATGGCACATTTTCAGTTTATTATGGCTGACACTATGTTTCTGAAGGTTTTCTAGCTCTTTCAAAGCAGAAGGAAGGAATGTCAGCTGATCATCATGCACATCAGCAACAGCTAGAGTGGGCAAGAACCAGAAGCCATCTGAGAGTGACTGAAGCTGATTGCTTTCGATGACAAGCTTGGGCAGATCTGTCTGCTCCCACTGTCATTCAGGAGATCATTCCTTCATGCCAGATTGAGCTGGCTGCTACGTTAATGCAGTCTGTACCGTTTTATGGTTGGGCTCAGGACTGAATGAGAAGGGGAGACATTGCTGAGTGTGGGATGCATGCACTTATACCACACTCTCTGTTTCTTTATGGTGAGTGCCATGTGACTAGACTCTTCAGACTCCTGCCACAGTGGTTTCTCCTGGAATGATAGACTGTAACCCTGAACTGTGAACCAAAACAAACTCTTTTCCCCACGCATTAGTTACTTTTCTGTTGCTATGATAAAATAAAATGTGTTCAAACACATAAACCTATTGGGGGTGTTTTGCAACACCCTCTTAAATAGCTTTTGTCAAAGTATTTTATTAAAGCAATAGACAAGAAACTGAGACAAATGGCTATTAATAAATGTGAACACATGACACTATGTGGGAACAATGATTTTTAACTTGTAATAATTGTTGCATAAATCCTAATTTGTTTTAATAAAAACCCGGAGCCAGATATCAGGGTGAAAGCTGAAAGATCAGAGAAGCAGAGCAAGCCGCAGCCACCATCTCTTACCTCACCAACTCCTCAGCCTGAAAGAGAGAGAGAATCCCTGTTTCCTCCCTCCTTATATTCCTTTTTCCACCCAGCCATATCACTTCCTGTTTCAACCTTCCTAGTGGTGAAATTAAAGGTGTGTGCCACCATTTAAAGTGGCTCTGTTTCTCTTTTAGACTGGATTAACCTCATGTAGCCCAGTGTGGTCTTGAACTCACAGAAATCCAGACAGATCTCTGCCTCTGCCTCCCGAGTGCTAGGATGTGTACTACCATTGCCTAACCTCCATGGCTAACTCTGTGGCTGACTCTGTCCTCTAATCTTCAGGCAAGCTTTATTTCTTAGCTTACAAACAATATCACCACAAACAATAGGTCAGTAGAGGGTTGGTTATATGGACATGTAGGGAACATATTCTTATGGTCTATATTAACTATAGTCATGGCATTTTGTAAAGCTCCTACATTTTGGTTAAACAATAACAAGTGCTGAAACTAAAGTAATTTCGTGTCCAGAACTACAGTGACTAGCTTTTTTTTTTTTATTAAGATTCTTGCCTTCTCTGTCCTACCCATGCTCAGAAATGATTTATCTGTCATCTGACATTGTTTCATCCACCACTCATTTTGTTTTCCTAGCTACCACTAGTAACAGCCCACTTTCAGTCCCCTTTCTCTTTTCTTCTCTGTAACTACCTCAGACTGGTGGTGCAAGTCGTTAATCTTAGCATTCCAAAGGCAGAAGCAGGCAGATCTCACGTCTGGTCTCCAAAATAAGTTCCAGACCAGACATCCACTGCTACATAGTGACACTCTGTCTCAGAGAGAGGAGGGGGAACTGGGGAGAGAGGGAGAGAAGAGGAGGGTGGCTGAAACTAAGAGATTATAACTAATTATAGCCAGTTGGTTAAAACATAGTACAATTGCTGTAAGAAGAACTTGGCAGGCAACAATTAAACTGTACGTTAGCTGATTTTATGAATTTTCTGTTTGATCATGCACTGCAGTGATGTAGGAAGACGTTCTGAGGACGTGCATACTAACATTTGGGAAGAAGTGTCAAGATATAAAGACATTTAGAGTAATTAAAAGTGGCAAAATGCTAAAGAGCTGGAGGAAGGCTACACCTACACTTCTTTTGTTATTCTTTAAGCTTTCCTGTCGATATAAACCATTTTTCCTAAATATGCTGACGAGGCGTGGGGAATGATGTTCTGGGAAGACAGGATCCAAGTACAGACCAGCTGTCGGCAAACGAAGTCCGGTCCGGAAGAGCCCGGAAGCCACCTTTCAAAACTACCGTTCCCACCCTGCCCGCGGCCCTTCCCATAGGCCGGCGCCACCCCTCGGCCCCGCCCACAGCTCCCAAAAGCCCCCGCGCGCGGCCAGCAGTTCGGCTACTTCCGGCGTGAGGCGAGCGGCGATCATGGAGGCTGAACCTCCTCCTTTGGAGGAACGGCGGCGGCTGCAGGAGGAGTTGAGCGAGTTCGTGGAGAGCTGCTGCCGGACTCTGGAGGAGGTGACGGCGTCCCTGGGATGGAGCCTGGATCAGCTGGACCCTGGGGACGAGGCGGCGGCCGAGGTGAGGGACGAGGTGGCCCGGCCTCTCCGGGGCTGCGGGCTTCTCGTCGAGGGGAAGGCGCCCGTTGGGTCCAGGTCTCTCCTAGTGCTCCACCCCGGTGCCGTGCAGAGGAGCAGGGCTCCTCGGGTGCTTGTCCCGGGGGTGCAGCTGGTGGGTTGGACGATTTGCTTTGTCATCTGTCATAAGGATTCCGCGTTGCGTTAAGAGTCAGTTTCGGGAAAGCTTGGGTGTCGAGTTCTGTTTTCACTGCCTTAAACCCGGACGCCTTCCACTCGGACAGCACCGGTTCTGGGACGATTAAAGGGACGACACCAAGGAATGGTAGCTAGGAACTGACTCTTAAGAAGTGTGTTTGAGTGAATTATCGTGACTTTTGTATTGATGGACCCAGGGTGAAGGGGAATTTGCATTGTGCGGTTGATTTCTTATATCCCCTGCGCTTATTATGCTGAAATAACGAGGTTTAAGTCTTACGCCAATGGAAATATTTAAGATAGGTTTGATTTACATATAAGCTAATCACCATTAAAATTGAAGTGGAAATTATAAGAAAAATACTCTCCTTTGTTCCTTCACAATTGTATTTGGAGTTGTGAATTAACCTATTACAGCTCATGAATTAAAACCTAGTAACGGAGCCGGGCGATGGTGGTGCACGCCATTAATCCTAGCACTTGGGAGGATGAGACAGGTGGAGGTCAGTGAGTTCGAGGCCAGCCTGGTCTACAAAGCCAGTTCCAGGACAGCCAGGACTGTTACACAGAGAAACCCTGTCTTGAAAAACCACCCACCCCCTCAAAAAAAAAAAAAACCGAAAACAAAACAAAAAACCCTAGTAACGGTTCTGTAAAGTGGATTTGGGGGAGAGCTGAAAAATTTTGAGCTATGCATTAGATAACTTATGAAATTTCCAGGCCATTGAACAGGACCCACCACACCCTTCTGTGTCATTGATTACTCAGCTTCAGGGTATTAACATTCACCTAACACTTTGTATATGGCACTACATTACTTCATTTAAAATTTACCTTAACCCTTGGAGGTGAGAATGATTGGCAGCAATCTGCAGATGAGGAAACAAAAACATCAAAGTTTTTAACTTTGATAAACTGATCCTAAATGGCAGCTGGGGTTTGAATGCATACCTTCTGGCTTCTGAGAGTTTGTGTGCTTAATTGCTATGTAAACCTCCATTGTAAAATCCCCCATGACAGTAAGCTGTGGGGTACATGATTATCTGATACTCAGAAGAGTAACTGGCATTAAAAAATCCTGGGAAATGACACTGATAATCCCTAGGATAGGTGCAATCCAGATACTTAGTGAATCCCCATGTTTCTGTGACACAGCGTAGTGGAGAGCAGTGACATGGTGGAGAACTTATGGTGGTGATGAGGGGTACAGAGAGATGACAGCTGGTGAGTTATCGTGGGGCAAAGTCTGTGATAGGTGGAGTTAAATTTTTTTTTGTAATATTAGTTGTTATGGGCTATGATGGGTCAGTAAAAGCTTCTGGGAAAATGTTTCTCAAAATCTGTGTGGGTGTATATGGGGGTATGGCCTGGGTTATGGGTCATTGACTTACCTTGTTCAGGCTCTCTTGTTGTCTTGATATCGCACACACCATTCTAGCTGGTTCATGAGCTTCTGGGCATTTTCCATTCCATCTCCTATCTCATAGTGGGAGCACAGACATTGCAGATACATACTAACCATGCCTGTCTTTTGCATGGGTTCTGGGGATTTGAACTCAGGTCCTTATGCTTACTGAGTCATCTCCCTAGCCCTGACCTGCCCCACCCCCCCAAAAAAAATTCAAAGCTGAAAAATAAATGAGTAGAATTGGCTAGGTGACGCACAGAGAAAGCACACTTAGAATTCCAGGCTGAAATGATAAGATTAGAGGGCTTCAAGTACTTAAGGATGGCTAGAACATTAAGAGGATACTGGTGGCCAGGCAGAGTGGTGCACACCTTCAATCCCAGCACCTGGGAGGCAGAGGCAGGTGGATCTGTGTAAATTTGAGCAAGCCTGGCCTACATAGTGAGTTTTAGATCAACCAGGACTCCATGATATAAAGGGGGAGTGGAGTGATAATAGGTAGGTGGTTAGAGCCTAAAGGTCCTTGTCAGCCATATTAGAGAATCTTGGTTTTGTTGTTGTCTTTTAAAATGAGGGTCAACAGGGGAGGAAGCATAGACAAATTTTAAGTCAGGGAATGTCCAAATCACATTTGTGTTTTAATAAAATACCTACCTAATAGAATACCTAAATAAATATTTAGTACTTACTACGTACCAGGCCCTGCTCAAATGTTTTCTGTGTATAAACTCACATATTTATATTTATTTAATCTCCATGATATCTTTGTGAGATGAGGGTCTATTGCTTCCATTTTATAGATGAAGAAACTAAGTCAAGGAAAGGTTGATTATGTTGCCCAATATGTTATAGCGAGTAAATAGCAGAACTGGGGTTTCAGAAATACCTGCGTTGTGGAGAATGGAGTAGAGAGCAGCCATCCTGGAAGCAGAGATAGAGAGCAATTAGATAGCTGTTGTAATCCAGAGAAGTAACATGACATCTTGAATTGGAAAAGTTCACTGGGGACAGAGAGAATGAAGATTTCAGACATTTAAGAGTGAAAAATGGCCGGGCGGTGGTGGCGCACGCCTTTAATCCCAGCACTCGGGAGGCAGAGCCAGGCGGATCTCTGTGAGTTCGAGGCCAGCCTGGGCTACCAAGTGAGCTCCAGGAAAGGCGCAAAGCTACGCAGAGAAACCCTGTCTCGAAAAACCAAAAAAAAAAAAAAAAAAGAGTGAAAAATGTCAGGGCTGGGCGATTGCTTGGATGTGATGATTAGGGAGGAGGCAGTGTCTTGCTTGAGCAGGTGGCGCCTTTCACTGAAATGGGAAGAAGGCAGGCTTGGGTGCTACATGGCTTAGTTACTTTTGTGTTGCTGTGATAAAATACCCAACAACAACAAGGTAAGAAAAGAAAGTGTGGGGCTGGAGAGATGGCTCAGCGGTTAAGAGCATTGGCACTCTTCTAGAGGACCCTGATTCAAGTCCCAGCACCTATATGGCAGCTCACAACTATCTTTAACTTCAGTTCTAGGAAATCTGACACCCTCACACAGATACACATGCAGGCAAAACACCAATGCACATAAAATAAAAATAAAGCATTTAAAAAAGAAAGGATGGTATAGTGATTAGTTTTGACACAATGCAGAATCACCTGGGATAGGAGTCTCAATAAGGAATTGTCTAAATTAGGTTGACTTGCGGGCATCCCAGGGAGGGATTTATTAATTGAATTAATTAAGGTGGAGAAATTCACCCTGAAGGTGGGCAGCACCACATTATGAACTGGGTCCTGTACTAAATTAAAGGGAAAAATAACCCAGACCCTAGCAGGTCATACATTCTTTGTCTCATCCCATAACTATAGGTGTGAGTAGCTGCTTCACATTTGCTCCACTTTGACTTCTCTGCAGGATGGACTGTAACCTGGAACTGTGAGCCAAATAAACTCCTAAGTTGTTTTTGCAGGATGTTTTCTCACAGCAATCAACACAAAACTAAGAAGGCTTACCGTTTAAGGTAAAGTCTGTGATAATAGGAAAGTCAAAGCTACAGGAGCTTGAAGCAGTTGCATCTGCAACCAAGAAGAGCATGAACCTTTGCTCAGCTCATTTTCTTTTGTACAGTTTAGGAACTTGGCCAGGGAGTAGTTCCACGGTCTTTTCAACCTCGATGAACCTAATCAAGGTGCTTCTCCGTAGATAGAGGCCCAGAGGCCCTCAGTGATTCTAGATTTTATCAGTTTGACAATTAAGATCAACCATCACACAAACCATGAATATATTGAATTTATTTTTGTTCATGTTGGACTTTTAGTACAAGGTACTTAATAATTATAAAACAATTAAAGAAAATTATTGTGTGTATATGATATGGGGTGGGTCAGGACAGTTTTGTGGATTCAGTTTCTCTCTTCCCAACTTTGTGTGAATTCCAGGGATTGAGCTCAGGTTGTCAGCCTTGCTTGGTGAGTGCATCACCCTCTGAGCCACCTTGCTCCTGGTATAAGGTACCTAAGAGAGAAACATGGTCTGATGAGATAGATTTGTGAAACTTTGAAAGTATAGTGAGAATTGAAGCCAGATTATTGCTAGGAAGCATGTTATTGAAGAACAAGAGGTTAATGATTAGAATTACACGAAATACCAGCATTTAAAAGGGGCGACTGCAGGAAACCAAATAAGAACCGGAGGGGTAGAAATAAACATTTATTAAGAGCTAGATGTGGTGTTGAATGGTTGTAATCCCAGCACTCTGAGGCCGAGGCAAGACGATTGCCGTAAGTTCAAGGCCAGCCTGGGCTACACAGCAGGAGCCTGTCTCAAAAGACAAAACAAAGCCTGGGGAGGTGGTTGATAACGTGCCTGCTAAGGAAGCATGAGAATCCTCAGAACCAGTAACCTCAGAGCTGGAGATGTAGGGGCTTGCTGGCCCTAGCCAGTCTTGCCAAATAGGTGAGCTTCAGATTTAGTAAGAGATCTTATCTCAAAAAATAAGGTAGAGAGTGACTGACAGAGACACCTGATGTTGATCTCTGATCTCCACATGCACACTACTTACACATGTGCCTCTACATACATGTGTACATACGAACAACACAAGAGAGAGCAAAGTGTATTAGGAATACCAGGAGCTCAAATACAACAACTGTGACGTGTGGCTTCAGTAGCAGGAAGATTGCTAGTGGCAGGTGTCAGTGAGGTAGTGATGGCAGAGGTAAGGAATGGCTATTCGAGATGCTGTGGAGATAGTGAATTAATCATTGAGAAAGTTAAGCTCAGCTGGGTGATGGTGGCGCACACCTTTAATTCCAGCACTCTGGAGGTAGAGGCAGGTGAATCTCTTGTGAGTGGCAGGTGAATCTCTTGTGAGCCCACCTGGTCTACAGAGTGAGTTTCAGGACAGCCAGGGCTGTTACACAGAGAAACCCTGTCTTGAAAAACAAAAAGGGGGGAAAAAAAGGAAGAAAGTTAAGCTCTGAAGGGCTGGAGAGAGGACTGTGCCTTTAGAAGATGCATTGAGAGAATTTTCTTTTTTATTTTCTTAATACAAACACCCACATTGAAGGGAGATCTGCAGAAAAGGAAGTACTAGAATGATTTTAAAATACTGTTCTCCTTCTGTTTGATTTTTTTTCAGGATGAAATCACGATATGCCCTTATGATTCCAATCATCACATGCCTAAATCATCACTAGCAAAGCACGTGGAGTCTTGTAGATTGAGGAAGCTGGGCTATGCCAAAGAGGAAGAGGTAACATTTGTTTATTACATCATATTGTGTCATTCATTCGTTAGTAAATCAGGAGAGTATATTGTGAGCTATGGTAGAAAATGTAGTACTTTGCCCGACTTCACCAAGTGTTAGATATTTAAACAGTGGTATTGTTTATATCAAATCTTAAAACAGCCAATTGTGCAGTCCTTAAGAATACTAGCTAAACTGGGTGGTGGTGGTGGTGGTGGTGGTGGTGGTGGTGGTGGTGGTGGTGGTGCACACCTTTAATCCTAGCACCCTGGAGGCAGAGGCAGGTGGACCTCTGTGAGTTTGAGGCCAGCCTGGTCTACAGAGTTCCAGAACAGCCAGGGCTACACAGAGAAACTCTGTCTTGTTAAACAAAAAAAAACAAAAAAAAAAAAAAAAAAAAAAAAAGAGAGAGAGAGAGAATACTAGCTAAAGTTTCTGTTTTTGTTTTTTTTACTGTATAGGATGAAATGTACAATCCTGCTTTTTTCTATGAGAATTTGAAGATTCCTTCAGTTACTTTGAGTAAGTATATTAGATTATGATTGAAAAGTAGTTGTGGGAGCCCACAAAGGTTTCCTAGTGAGATTTGAGCTTGCTTTACACCACAGGGCTGCATTAGGGGATGGCTTGACCACGTGCAAGGTCACCAGGTGTTTGTGATGGTCTACACTTGGCTGTGCTGGGGGAAGGTCTTTTGCTCCACCCCTTGGCATTCCTTTAAAAAGCCCTTTAGTAGAGACAGAGGAAGCTTGTGGGTTTGGACCCAGGCCCTCCCCAGGCCTTCCTGTTTTCTAACGGTCTCTCTCTCTCTGTGTGTATATATATATACATCTATCTACAAATTCCTCATTTCTCCCTGCTCAAGAGTACCCTGGGGGAATAAGAGGGAGCCGGTGTCTCTCAAGTAGTCTAGTTTTTGTATTAATTTTTCTTTAGCAAAAAGAATGGATATTATAGACATGCTTATGATTAATGATAATAGGTGTAATTAATACACAATGAAGATAGTTCATGTAATGTAAAAGTAAGACTGGGCTTATGTTAACAGGGAGTGAAAAATTCTGCAAAATCTTGCATAGTAGACCAGATATGATGGTATACACCTTTACTCCCAGCACTCGGGAAGAAGAGGCAGGCTGATCTCTGTGAGTTCTAGGCCATTCTGGTCTATAGATTGAGTTCCAGGACAGCCAGGACTGTTACACAGAGAAACCCTGTCTTGAAAAACCAAAACCAACCAAACAAAAAATTATATTGTAGGTCACATGCCTCCCTTCTTGGTTGTAACAAAAATATGACCATACAACATTGACTGAAGATGTGAGGGAGGGTGGAATCATGATCCACACAATGTGGACTGAATGTAAAGGGAAGATGGAAATGAAATATGTGTTCATTATTTGCAGTATGCAGTTAAAGTCCTGACTGACACAGAATGTCCTGTCAACTCATATGCATGTAACTTTTGGTGAGATGTTGCCCTGTTTATTGCCTAAGTTTCAGTATTTTTTGTAGTACTGGAGACTGAACCTAGCGTGTCTTATTTGCCAGGGAAGCACACTATCCCCACACCTTAAAGATTATGATAAATCTAATGCACTTCAAATGATGTCTGGCTCTAAAAGATGTTAGTTATTAGTTGCTTGAATTTGTACCTGCTGCTCATGAATGCCTGATTATGTTTTCTGAACTCATTGGAATCTGATCACCTCTTGGGCTGTAGCTAGCTCAGAAAGAATTCTTACTGAGGTTACAAGTCATGATTCAGATTTCTCTTTTTCAGATAAGGATTCACAGTTCCAGATAATTAAACAAGCCAGAAGTGCAGCTGGGAAAGATGGTGATTGTTACAGTCAAAGTAAGTGTTGTTGTAAGTTCAGCTAATTGGTGAACCAAGGTATTTTTTTCTCATGTAAGCATGGTTCTACTTCTTAAGAAAACCTTTGTGAAATGGCCACATTGGAAAAGGATCAGTGTTACATTTAACAGAGGAATAGCTTACATTGTTTCAACTTGATTATTAGCTATTTCCTGTTCAGATACACTGGAGGCTCCCTCAAATACCATCTCAGCCAGGGGTGCTGTTTTGGCATTATCTGATTGATAGGTGTGGTTGTCTTGTGGGTAAGTTTTTTAAAAACAGATTATTTAGTAAGTATACTGGATAAGAGTGTCTTCTTTTGTTCTGTTGGGGTGCAAGTACCTGACCCTGAGAGCTTTCTGAGAATATTGAAATATACATATCGCTAAACATTGCTGCTCTCAGACTGTTCCCTACTAAGTTTGTATTTATAACCTCGGAGATGTGGAATGCCCCAGAAAAAGCACAAGCACTCTGTGCACCTATAGTCTGAGAGGCTTTGTGGGTTCTCATGCCCGGCTTGGGCGCTGCTTGAAATGTTTCTGCCTCAGAATTGGACAGAAACTAGAGTTAAAAAAATTAGCTACAAGCTAAAGGAACAGCTTCGTCCAAACAGAAGGAGGCAAGTTAATAAAGAATTTAGATTTTTGAATCTGGGTGTGACATTTAGTCAGAGCACAACCATCTCCTCTTACCAAGGTTGTCTTTCTGTGGGAGGCGGGCCACTCCTTTCTCAACGCTCCCTGCCTGTCCCTGGTCATCATGCAGGTTTTCTCCTTTGTCAAAATTCAGTCTTTCCCTAAAACTCTTCTAAGAAGCCATTGTGCCGAGATCTGGACTTGATTTCTCCTGAGTTGCACTGTGGCTTACGAAGGAAAATTGTTTTGTCCTTGGCCTGTGTATCTTGTGTTAGTTACTTCCAGTGGCTGGAAACACATTTTTCATCTGTTTATTTGTGTGTGTGTGTGTGTGTGTGTGTGTGTGTGTGTGTGTGTGTGTGTGTGTGTGTATATATATGTATAGGGTGGCACATGTGCCATAATATTATGTAGAGGTCCAAGGACAACTTTAGGAAGTCACTTCTCTCCTTCCACAGTGTAGCTTCTGAGGGTTAAGCTCATGTGGTCATGCTTGGTGGCAAGCATCTTTACCCACTGAGCCACCTTGCCAGCCTAAACACATTTCTTGTATTTTCTTTCAAAACTTCTACTTTGGTTTCTGTTGGCTTCAGCTCAGCTTTCAGATTTACAGATTACTTATCTGTGATCACTTAAGTCTTTTATGATCTCTGTTGTTTCTGTTTGTTGGCCCTGTTAGTTAATAGACCAGTAGAATTAATTTAAATTTTGTTTTGTTTTGTTTTGAGAGTCTTGCCTTTTAAGACTTTGACTCTTAGCTGGTTTAGGTAGATTAATGAATTTGTTTCAGAGTTGAAAGAGTACTTTGATCGTGTAATCCAGTGTCTGTATTTTACAGACAGGAAACAAACTGGCTGATAGGGCCAGTTTGAGAAAGTCCTTGTGTGTTTGTTCTAAAAGCCTTGGGTGTTTAGTAAGATTCTCCCTTCTGCACTTTCTCCCTTTGTTTCTTTGAGACTTGGTCTCTGGCCGAGGCCCCTCATTCTGACCATGCTTACCTCAGCCTCCCTTCTGAATGCTGGAGTTCCAGGTGTGTGCCACACATCCAACTAATCCTTTTATTTAAAACTCCTTTATCCCAGAACTCTTTTGCATGTTTCATTTCTTTTCCCTAGAAACCTTTTGCAGTGTTGGAGAAGTGTTTTAGTAGGCGAAGAAACACAACGGGACGAAACTCATCCTTGCTGGGCAGCAGCAGCAAGGCTGCCTCCAGAATGGAGTTCTGACTTCTGTCACAGGCTCTCAGCTGAGAGGGCTAGAATTGATCTGCATGTAGTGAAAGTTGTGGACTGTGGCTCTTTTTGATGTCCATATGTATTACATCATTGCGAGAACATCACACTGCACACACATGCACCTGTTAATGCTGCTCATCATTCATTGTTTGTTAGTCTAAAGAAGTAACTTGTGAGATTTTGTTCTTCTGTGTAGTGGAACAGTTGTCTTGTCTTGAGGATAGACATGGCAAGTACTACAGTAATTGGCAGACATACTGTCCAAGAAAAAAGTAATGTGCAGAGAGTGTTAGTGAGTTTTATGTAAATAAGTGATTTAGAAAAGGTCACAGGGTATGGATTTATAGAACTAGACAGTACAATTTAACATTGAGCTCAATTCATCACAGAAACAGAATTATTTTGGGTTATTTATTTTTTTTTATTTTTATTTTTATTTTTATTTTTGTAGTGCCGGGCATTGAATTTAGGGCATCTAAGAATTACTTTGAACTTAGAGTAGAGAGACTTATTTGACTTTGAATTTTATCTTAGGTTTGATTGCTTTGAATAACTATGTGATCTGTAATCCTCTTTTAAAAATGTGTTTAACTCCTATGAAGGGTTCTATATTTTTTTTATCAGAATTATCTTTGTGGTCCACTTACGTCTTTAGATATTTTCGCATTTTTGACATGAGGACAAGAATCTCTTTAACTACCTTCTTACTGATTTGTTTATGTGAACATGAAGCAATATGCATTTCCTCATCTTATTAATAGTTTAAGATGCACCAGAATGGAAATCTTTTGGCAGCAAATGTGTGTTTTCATTGTGCCTGCTACATCAGTCAGACCTAAGCTCTGCTGACCTCCATGTGATGTGGAAAGCCTAGGCCTAGGTGTTTACTTTCTTGTGCACTTATTTTGACTGGTTTATAACAAAGATTAATTTTGATCATAAATTGTAATTTTATATTTAGTGGTTTATCTTTTTTTCTCCAATATTAAGCATTCACGTTGCTCTAAGTTTCATGACACATATTTGAGACATGGCCATGATTTGCTATCAGTGTCTTATAGAAGAACCTTGGAGGACCATTTGGGCAAGTTAGTTTTCTCCCATGGGCCTTGGTTTTTTTTTTTTTTTATCTAATGCTAGGGATTGTCTCTGTGTGGGTGCTCTGCGCAGTCGTGAGTGCCACACCGAGACCATTCCTTTTACTAAAATACATGTGCCATGGGTAAGTTTTCCCGGGATGGTGAGTGCCAGCCAGGAGGACTGTGCATTCAGGTAAACTTAAGTCTGGTTTGAAGTGATGAGAGTTCTGGAGGTGAGAAGAGGTGGTGAGTGCAGAGAGTGAAGTCTGGTCCAGTGTTCTGAACCGTGTAAGTCAAACTGATCAGAAGGATGGATTGTGTTTCATGTATTTACCACAATTTAAAAAATTCAAAAAGAGGACACAGACTTTTGGAAATTACAGCACATAAACCAAATAGGGAAATTTAGTTTGAAAATTTACACTCCTATAAATGAAGCTTGCTTAAGTGTGTTTATCTTTTTTTTTTAATCAAAAATATCTGTTTTGAGAGATTTGAAATGTAGTTTGTTGCTTAACCTTTTCTGTACTTTTTCTTTTTCAGTAATTGGGGTGAGTATAAAGAGGAATTAGGAACCTGAATGTACTCCTTATTTAAAGATATGCAGTATCCTTTTTGCAAATGATATCCTTTTAAAAGTATCACTGAACTTCTGACTTTATCTTAATAGCTGTCACTCTTAGAAGTCTTGGTTTGGAATTCTGATTGAATTTTAATAAGTTTAAGTATTAGTTTCTATCATAAAGACATTTAAGATTAATTAATAAAAGAACTTTGAGCTTGATTTATTATACTGTTTTCTAAATTTTGTATTTTTCCTCTCAGATGTTTATAGCTGATATTCAAAGGAATCAGGCTTGCCAAAGCCGGTTTTATAGTGTGTGTTATGTTTAACACCTGGCTACATAAAGTCTTTTGATAGTTCCTCAGCATCAGAGGGAGTCCTCCTTTCCCACTCATTTCCAACCCCTTGTAACAATGTCCAGGTGTGATCGTCTGCATCTGTTCAACCACAGCCTCAGTACCACTGTGTCCTCCTTAGCTTGTGGAGAAGTGTGAAGTCATTTCTTTTTTTGTCTTTTTTTAATATGCTTAGTTTTTAGTATGCTCTTATTTGAATTCTTCTTTTGCCTCTTAGCCAAGATGTTAATTACGTCTGGGGGAGAGCCACTGTTAACTCCTTTAGGATGACCTTGCATACATTAGCATTCCTTTAGTAGTGATGTTCTGTTTGCAGTAGGAAGACTTGTTTGAAACTGCTTTGTTTACAGTTACAATCATTTTATTTCTTTGAGACCATTTGAATCTCAAAACAAATTTTTTCTTCGATGTTTTAATACATCACATCAAGGTATTGTATTTATTTATTGTTCGTTTATGAGCAGATTTTAGAATGATCATAACTATTAGGTGCACTGCTGTTGTTACCTTTTCTATTTGATTTAGTTAAGACAGCATACTTCCTCTTTTGTAAAGTGAAACTAGTGTAAAATCTTGTCCTGGTCTTAGGAAGTTTAGGGTTTCTACTGTAAAACAGTCTCACTGTGTAGCGCAGGTTGACCTCTTGCTTTGTAGTCCTGTCTGTGATCTTCCCATCTCCTGAGAGCTAGGATTACCAGTGTGCCACCATACTTGGCTTAATTTAAACATTTTTTTTTATTCCCTACTCTAGTCCTTGCACAGATGTAATGAACTTGAATATTGAACGTCTATCTTAATGTTGCATATGAGTTTTTTTACATATTCATAGCCCCTTAATTTGTTTTCAGAAGGACTAAAAATGTACATTGCCTATTAAAAATATTTTCAGCTTTTATGAGAAAAAAGAGCATATAACAGAAGTAATTCATACTTTTGTAATAGAGGTTGTATTTAAATTATACAAAGGCTTTCTTGGCCTGTTCTTGTGGCTTGTGCCTGTAGTCCTAGCTACTTGGGAAGCTGAAACAGGAGAATCCCTTGAAGCTACAGTCTGCATCGGCCTGGCAAACATGGCAAGACCTCATCATGAAGGGAAAACAGGCTTTCCGATGAGCAAGTCATTTCCTGTGGTTATTACTGCCTGGTTTCATGGACCCCATCTTAACCTTGTTTGAGGAGAATTGCAGACATCCATGAACATTACCATTTACTGCATCCTACTGATTTTTTTTTTTTTTTTTTTTTTTTTTTTGTAAAAAAAGTAGCTTGTGTTAATATTGCATTATTATTTAAATATTTAAACATATTTAAAGTATAATTCCACATGATCCATCATTTACTCTTGTCTTCTTTTATCTTAGGAATGTATTCTTCAGTGCCTGTTGAAGTTCCTCTGAATCACAAACGATCTGTTTGTGACCTTACCCAAGCAGATCGTCTTGCCCTTTATGATTTTGTCATTGAGGAGACAAAGAAAAAGCGATCTGGTTCTCAAGTCATTGAAAACGACAGTGATCTGTTTGTAGACTTGGCTGCCAAAGTCAATCAAGGTTTAAGATGAATATCATTCTTTACATTTCTTATCATTCTGTCTCATGAGTGTTAGTAGAGTGATTTCATTTTTGTGCCACTTGATCTGGGGTAAGGTGGTTTTGTATCATCTCATATTAACATTATCATAATGATTTTGCTTATAAAAGGAGTTTTACTCTGACTTCTACTTTAAATAGTTCCACCTATAAGAATGCTACTTGTGTGTAATCTGTGAACTTGAACAATTCTATGTTTACCTAATGGGTAAAAAAGGGGGGGGGTGATTAAAAAATAGCCTATTTGTGTACATAATGTAGAATATTTTGAAACTTTTTGTGTGTTACCTTGAAACATACTGAATGGAATTATTCCTAACTATATTCCTAACTATAACTTCTTAATTAAAACTGGGTTATGAGCTTGCAATGCTCTTGCAAAGGACTCAGGTTTGGTTTCTTTCATTAGATAATAGCCGAAAAAGTCCAAAATCTTACCTGGAAATCCTGGCAGAAGTGAGAGATTATAAAAGAAGACGCCAATCCTATAGAGCCAAGAATGTTCATATAACCAAAAAGTCATATACTGAGGTAAGTTTCACATAATTTTGTAGTGCTTGTGTGAGAACAAAAATTTCCCAGTTTTCTAAGTCTGTTTTATGCCCTTGGAGGTTTTCCTGAAGTGTCCTCAGAATACCACACCCAGTTTGTACTTGCCCCATGTTCTCAGGCCCACCTCTTTGCCAGGCAGAGGCTTTTAAGGGCACTCACATCATCTGTGATGGTTGTGTAACCTTTTAATGACACTTCTTTTTGAGAAAGTGGTTCTGTGCTGTCATGGGAGTATATATACATTTGGGCTTTCACCTACCCTTGGCTTGAGAGAGGGTGGTGAATGAGTCAAGACTGTCCTGGAACTTGATACATAGACCAGGCTGGTCTTGAACTCACAGATCCTCCTGCTTCTGAATGCTGGAATTAAAGGCGTGAGCCACCATGGTTCTTTGCTTGAGTTTTGACTCTGCTGTTTGTTGTTGATTTGCATGAGTTATTTGAGCTTTTTTATTTAAAAAGTTTTAGATTTTATTTTTTTTATTCTATGTGTATGCCTGAGTGTGTGTGTGTGTGTGTGTGTGTGTGTGTGTGTGTGTGTGTGTGTGTGTGTGTGTGCATTATGATGTTTAGGTGCCCAGAGGCCAGGAGAAAGGGTGCTGGGAAATGAACCTGGGTTCTTTTGAAGAGCAGCCAATGTTCTTAGTACCCTTTCCAGCCTCCGATGAACTTCTCAGCAATCTTCCTTCCAGCCTCCTGAGTGCGTGGGCTTAAATTCATGAGAGCCATGCCTGCTGGGAAATGTCCTGATGTCTACTGTAAATCAGTCTCTCTGTGATAGATACCAAGATTTAGTTTTAGGTGTCATTTATTGGGGGAAAATTGATGAAATTTTTGATACATAAATTAATCTACCCAGACCCAGTTCCCATATTAAACTCTGATTGTTATGTATGATTTCTTCCCTGATTTCAAAGTTTTTACGTTCTAGCCTCATTTTGTCAGTATTTGATTTTACTTTTGTCCAACATGTCTCTGAAGCTTTCTGGTGACACATATTCTTACCGCCGTGCCCTGACACATGATGCTACGTTACATGAAATGCTCTTCTGCCATTTTGAGTCTCAAGTGGGTGTGAGGGCCACTCATCCACGTCCACAGTGTACTGGCTGCTTCTGAGCTGTTGCTGGTTCATTGAATAACACTTTGCCACACACCCAACCTTTCACTCCATACAGTGCTTTTTATAATTAGGATGTATTTTAGACTTGCCTATCCCAGGAAAAGCCTGGAATTGTATGGTGCTTATAGGTCCTCAAATACTTGGTTCTTCACTAGGTCCCCTCTGGTCTCATATCTTTGGAATCATGTAAATACTGGTATTCTCTATCATTTTATGATTGACCTTTTCTTCCTTCCTTCCTTCCTTCTTTTCTTTCTTTTTTTTTTTTTTTTTTTTTTTTTTTTTTTTTTTTTTTGCTAAATGAATTAAATTATTTAGTTACTTACTAAATTTTTTCATTTATTTTACATACCAATCATAGTTTCCCCTCCTCCATTCAGAAAGCGGCAGACCTCCCATGAAAGTCAACAAAGCGGCTGGGCGGTGGTGGCGCACGCCTTTAATCCCAGCACTCGGGAGGCAGAGCCAGGTGAATCTCTGTGAGTTTGAGGCCAGCCTGGGCTACCAAGTGAGTTCCAGGAGAGGCACAAAGCTACACAGAGAAACCCTGTCTCGAAAAACCAAAAAAAAAAAAAGTCAACAAAGCATGACATATCAAGATGAGGCAGGACCAAGCTCCTCCCCCTACATCAAGCCTGGGAAAGGCATCCCAGCATGGGGAATAGGTTCCAAAAAGCCAGCTCATACCTGAGGGACAGGTCCAGATCCCACTGCTGGCTCTCTAGCTGTGGGTCCAGAGTCTGTGAGCTCCCACTAGCTCAGGATTGACCTTTTCTTATGGAAATACTTAAACATACTCAAGTAAACAGCTCAGTATAAGGAGTTTATGTTCCTTAACTATCTACCTCCTGCCTCTGCACTTGATAATTTTCCCCTTCCTCTGGCTTTGTTCGTATTTTAACCTCTTCTAGCTTCCATTTCATGCCTTGCATACTTTTTGTTTGCTGTGGACTAGAACTTGAATTTTGACAAGTTTCAGCAAAAAATTACATAGTATAGCTATGCCTAGCACACTGCTGTAGGGTGTGCAAAGGTGATGACAACAGGGTATCTGAGCTTTGAATGCTTGCTGTAAGTGAAACGTTACAGATTGTGTGAGTGCTGAAGTATGGGGCATAATGGTTCTTCAAAGGCTGGATTGGTGTGAGGTCTTAGAGGCCATAGTTCTAAGGGAAAAGGGAAGTAAGGAAACTTAAGGAAACTCCTGGCTTTTTCCTGTGTGGCAGACCTGTGCTAGGTCTGACCTGGGTGTCTAAGCTAAGGTTTCTGTTGCTATGTAGAGACACCATGACCATGACAACTCTTACAAAGGAAGACATTTAATTGGAGGTGGCTTACAGTTCAGAGGTTAAGTCCATTATCATCGTGGGAGGAAGCATGGCAGAATGCAGGCAGACATGGTGCTGGAGAAGCTGCTGAGAGTTCTCCATCTGGAGAAGAGAGTGACACTGGGCCTGTCTTGAGCTTCTGAGACTCCGAGCCCACCCGCAGTGACACACTTTCTCCAGCAAGACTACACATCTAATGATTGTGTGGGAGCCGTTTTCATTCAAACCAGCACAGTGGACTTCAGTGAGCTCCAGGAGAGCTATCAAAAAGTAGTCTAGTAAGGCTGCTTAAGAGGCACTAGAACTGGAATACGACTGCTGGTGTGTGTGGCTCATATAAAAAAACCAATGTTGAGTGTCTTGGGGATGGCTGGAGCTTAGGGTTCCATGAAAACTGCCTAGTGTGCTCACTAAGGCACTGTGTCCTGTCCTAAAATCATGGAGGACTCCCAAGCTTTACTGAAAGTTGACATTGTTCTGTGTTTAGCTTTTGGAACTATTGAAAGTTTCTCTGATGGAGGGGAAAATTGCAGTCAGGTCTGAACTGTGGTGGCTTTCTCTTTGTTTTTTGAGACAGGGTTTCCTGTGTAGTCCTAGCTGTCCTTGAACTCACAGAGATCTACCTGCCTCTTTCTCCCAAGTGCTGGGATTAAAGAAATGTGCTACTACACCTGACTCTGTAGTGTCTTTCTTTGGTAATTGCCCCTATTTCCTATACTGTGAAACATTTCCTTAGCAGGCAAGAGAGAAGTATTAGCTCTGTTTTGTTTTATCTGTCTTCCCTGACTAGTCCTGTATTTGATAGTGTGGAAAAGATAGAAAAGAAACTTTCAAGTGGTTCTCATCAAAGCTTAGGGACTTGACTCTTTGGGAGAGCATCTGTGAAGTAACTCATATTTCACACTCTGTCTTTCATCTTGGTTTAATTATAAGGTTTAAAAATCATGTGCAGATGTTCTCCTCCAGAAGTTATGGAGCTAGGAACAGCAGTAAGAATTCTGCACAACTTTACATCATGGGTGTTGTGTCTGTGTACTCACTGTTTCCATTCACTCCCTTCCTTTTTGTTCCTTCATTCTTTTTTCATTTTTAAAAAATTTACTTGTCACGTGATGGGTTTCATTCTGATGATGTTTTCATATACATGTACCATTATTCTTTGCCCTTGTTCATAAACTCCTCATTGTCTTCTGTGGTCCCTACCCACCTCCGCTGTCCCCTCCCTCACCTCAAGTGGTCCCTCCTTCTGTCTTCATGTCCTATGTATTCCATTACTCTCCTCTTTTTATCCACTTGCCCTTTCTTGACAGTGTTTCACCCCATAGCCCAGGGTATTCTAGAATTCCTTCAGTACTGGGATTGTAGGCATAGCCACCCAGCCACCATTTTTCCTTTCTGTACTTCTTTTACTTATCTGTACATTTTTTCCTTTAATTATTCAAGAGTAAGTTCCCTACATCATGATTCTTTTTCCCAAAGTAGTATGTGTGTGTTTCCAGAGAATAAGGCTGTTTTCTTACATAGTCATAACATAGCTCCAACTTCAAATTTAATATTGAAATAATGCTGCCATCTACCATTTATTCACTAGTGTGACCAATGCCTTTTTTATAGTTCCTAAACACATGCATCTCATAGTCCATTATATCATAGCCCTTAGTAAATTTTTGAGTGATGACAAGCAGAGATTTGTTAAGGTCAATCCACATGAGTCTATTTAATGGGTAATAGGTATTTATTGAGATATAAACTGAGAAAATAAACTCACGAACACAGAACCAAGTAAACAGCTGAAGTCGTCCTCTGTTATGTCTGGGAGCAAATGCACCTGGCTATCCGATCATGCCAGGAAGAAGGAAACACATAACCCCTCTCCATTTTTTTTTTTTTTTTTTTTTTTTAAAGAGGTCACATACAAAGGCAAGAAGCACTACCTCTTTCAGGCTGTATAGCTCAAGGTCATGGACAGAGCAAATACCACTACAGAGATTTTTCTAAAAGATTTTATTTTTAATTACATGTATGTGTGTGGTTATATGCACATGAGTGCCAGTGCCCAAGGAGGCCAGAAGAGGGCATTAGATCCCCAAATCTTCAGTTATAGGTGGTTGGTTGTGAGCCACACCACATGGATGCTGGCAACCAAACTTGGTCTTCTGGAAGAGCAACAGATGCTTTTAACCCTGAGCCATCTCTCCAGCCCCTGTTTTTCTGGTTTTATGATCTTAAGTTTTAGAACAACTTTCTTATCTGACATTTGGTTTTTGCTTCTTCCAAGGTAATTCGAGATGTGATAAAGGTACACATGGAAGAACTCAGTAACCACTGGCAAGAAGAACAGGAAAGAGCAGAAGATGGTGCTGAAAAGTGTGTCATTGTCTTTACTAATGAAGCACTTGCTTATTTAATTTTCTGTTTGTATTGAACCCAGGGCCATGCACTTGCTACGTAGTATGCCTTTCATGTGCTATAAATTGCGGGTGTGCAGCACTATGTCTGGCTTAAAGTAGTATCTTTTTAAAGAATCATCTATATGTACTATTAAACCGTAGCATTTCCAAGACTCTTAGTAACATACTGTGATTCACTGGTGCTTGTTTATTGTCAGTGCTCAGAATTACTGTACTTAGCGCTGTGACGTTAAGGATGAACAACCATATTAGGGAAATAGTTATAAATAAGTTATATTATAGGGGCTGTTTGTTCAGTTGCTACCTTTGTGGAATAGAAGATTATGCTTGTTTATGTACACGCTAGCTGCCATTGGTATGATACAGAATATTACACATTAGGTCGATGGTCTGTGTGTGCAATGGAGGCCATTGGTGAAAGGAGCTGATGGCTGTTCCTTTCCGTGCTGCAGGAATGAAGAGAGGCGATCAGCTTCGGTAGATTCACGACAGTCTGGTGGAAGTTATTTGGATGTGGAAAATTCACGACATAGAAGGGCTCGGAGTAGAAGTCCACACAAACGAAAAAGAAATAAGGACAAAAATCCTGAGTCAAGAAGAAGGAAAGAGAGGTGAGTCTGTCTGCCCCTGACAGCATCGTTATCTTTGCCCAGCATTGTTGACTTTGTTGTAGAATGCAGGAAAATCAATTGTAGGAATAAGATAAGGTAGGGGAGGAATTAATGGACACTTTCAGACTCACCATTGCTCAGTTTAGTCTTCCCCCGTAGAGTCGTAGTTCCTAGTTCTGTGTGTGTGATAAGTCATTGCTTTCCCCCAATCCCTTTTCTTTGTGGTATTGGAAATTAAACCTAGAGACTGATGAATAGTAGGCCAAGCGCTCTACTACTGTGCTATAACTTCAGTCCTTTTCTATATTTTTTTAAAGTTTTGAGACAGAACCTTACCATGTTACCCAGGCAGGCCTTGAACTTGTGATCTTCTTGCCTCTGCCTGCCACGTAGGCTGGATTATAGACTTGCACCACCAGGTGACCATCTTGGTGCTCCCTCTTTTTTTTTTTTTTTTAAATCACTTCTTAACCTGACATATCAAAGTAATGTCTGGATAAGGCAGTGGTACAATACCTGCTTAGACCTTTCTTCTTTTCGTATTGTCCTCTCATGTTTCTCATTCTTCATGCTAATTCTCTAGATGAAATATTTTTAGAGTCAGAGACATTCCAATCTATATCAGTCAATTTTACCCTTGGTAGTATAATTTGGATAACTAGAAGATATGAATTAATTTTTAAATAATAAATTTTAAATATCTTGTATGCCAGCTGCTTACTGGGCATCCTCCTGGGTGTCACATTCACCAGGGCTCTAACTAAACTGTTTCTCAGTCTGTCCTCCTTCCCTAGTATTCCTGTCCAGGTTGGTGGGATAACCCTCTCAAAATTTCTTAAGCCGGAAATCAGGTGGTCGTTAATGCTTCCCATCTGGTCAGGTCCAAGTTCCTGTCCGTGCGGCCGTGGGCCTCCTACTGTTCCTGTTGCTGTCTGTCTAGACCAGAGAATAGCGGTTGTCTTTTGAGTTGTTGTAGGTGTCTCTAAACTTACCCTTTGTGAATCCATTTCTCCTGTGCTGCCAAGTGAATCCTCTTAAAACTCAGCAGCAGCAAAATTCACATTGCTTGGAATGGTTTCAGCACTTAGGATCAGTTTCTGCTTGTTTCTTGTACTTTCCATGACCCTGTGGAGTGCAGAGTCTGCCCTGGGCAGCCTGACTTGAGTTCTCATCCCTATCTACGCCATTTTGCACTGTGTCCTTCTGCCTATTTTTTTTTTTTTAAGGGCTTGCTTGGCAGACTTATCTTTTCCTGAGCCCTCTTTTACTCAAGCAGAGAGGACTGTCAGTCTTACCTAGCACGCCATTGTTTGCTGCACTTAGTGGTTCTCCCCGATAGAGTCTTCGCTCCTGGAAGACAGGGTCTGTGTCTGTCTTAGTGTTCTTGTTGTTGTTATTATTTGTTTTTGTTTTTGTTTTTGTTTTTTTGTTTTTGAGACAGGGTCTCACTGTGTAGCTCTGGCTGCCCCAGAACTCACTCTGTAGACCAAGCTGGTCTCAAACTCACAGAGATACGCCTGTCTTTGCCTCCCAGGCTCTGAGTTTGATGTGGACAGTACTATTCAACACTCGACTTTCACTTGATGTGTCTTTCCAGGGCCACTGGTAAAGAAGAATTAGTGAATCTTTTTCTAAAAAGTAATTTGACAGGCTGTGGTGGCACATGCCTTTAATCCCAGCACTCGGGAGGCAGAGGTAGGTGGATCTCTGAATTCCACAGACAAACTCTGTCTCAAAAAGAAAAATAATTAAAAAAAAAGTTATTTACGTATATGTATGTGTGCCTGCGTGAGCTTATGTGCACCCAGTGTGTGCAGATGCCTGTGGAGGCCAGAAGAAGGCATTGGATGCCCTGGAACTGTAGCTATGAGCACTTGTGAGCTGCCTGGATGATGGGAACTGAACCCTGGTCCTCTGCAAGAGCAGTGAACATTTGAGACATCTCTCTAACCCTAGTAAATTCTTCTGTGTTGGCCTGACAGTTTTGCTGATCTTACTGTCGTTCTGTAGGTCTAAAGCTAGCTGTGATTAGTTCTTCTCTTGGGAAGATGAAATGCTTGCTTAGTTACCCCTTCTGACCCCCACAAATGAACTCTTGCCCATCTAGTAGAAACTGCTTTGGCTCTTTTCGGAGTTGACATCTCTAATCAGTCCCTGTAAACTTACATTGCAAGTCTTCAGTGTGAATATGAAGTAGCAGAGGGTAAGCAGTGAATGAGCAGGAAGTACTTCTTAGAGTAAGGCTAATATCTACATTCATTCCTAAGATAGAATGAGTTCTAGAAAGTTGAGATGGCAGCCAGAATAGGGAAGTCAGACAATTTAACTTTTTTTTCTGTACCTTTCATATTTTATTTGAAATGGATTCTCTGGTCATCTAACATTAACATATATTTAGTTATTTTAAAGCAGACCTCCAAAGTATAATCCTATTTTGCTTACCATTTTCCCTTTTACTTTTGAGATATCTTCTCCTCCTCCTCCTCCTCCTCCTCTTCCTCCTCCTCCTCCCTCCTCCCTCCAAGCTCCTATATACTCCTCTTTCTCTTCAAATTCATGGCCTCTCTTTTCATTAATTGCTGTTACATGCATATGTGTACATGCACGTACATTCCTAAATATAGCCTGCTTGGTCTGTGTGTTACTTGTCTGTGTTTTCAGAGCTGACCATTTGGTACTGATTGATAACCAAATGATGGCTCTTTCAGAAGACTGTTTCTCCTGCTCTCCACATTCCTTAGTTGCCTCTAGTTCTCTGTAGGCTTGCAGTCTCCTGGGCTTTTCCCAGTCCACTTTGGCATGTCTGCTGCTGTCCTTGTTCCCGTCTTGTTTAGGTACTTATGTTAGTGAGACTTGAGTGTAGCTTCTGAGATTACTTGGAGACACAGTCTCTCCCTGATCCTCTGCCTCTTATAATCTGTCAGCCCCTCTTCTGCAGTGTCCCTGAACCTGAGGTGTGGCAGTATTTTGTAGATGTAGCCATTGGTACCAGGCTCCACAGCTCCACATTTTGATTAGTTGTGGTTTTCTGTACTGGTCTCATGTCTGATGTAAAGAGAAGTGTCTGTCCTGAGGGGTGAGGATTGCATTAACTGAGGGTGTAAGGACAAGTATTTTGAGTACAGTTAGGGTTGTGGTGGTTTAGTCAAGTGGGGGTTGAGGGTTCTCTTCCATAATCCAGGACTTCACCAGCCCTGGGTAGGTGGCTAGGTCTCCAGTACCAGGCATGATTTCCCTCTTGTTGAACTTAATTAATTTTCTTAAGTCCAATTAGAGAGCTTTTAGTTACCAGCAAGGTATTTGTGCTACCTTAGGATTATCATGCCATGCTTGTTGTTGCTATGGTCCATAAGCATGTTAGTTACTTCTCTCCTTTGGAAGCTTGCATGGTGCCTTGAAGACTATGAAAGCTAGTCTTCAAGGAGAAGGATTCATTCAGGTCAGTTCCAGCTCAGGGGGCTCTGGGCCCTGTGTCTGAAGTACATGGTGCCTTCAGTAATAGGTCTTTACCTTCCACTTCTGAACATGGTGTCTTCAGGAATAGGAACTTACCTTCTTCCTCTGAGGGTTAACCAAGGACAGTAGCAATAACCTATCATGTTTGGGGAGTTTCTTGGGCAGTTCTCACCAACAACTCAGAAGAAGGCTTTCCATGCCTGGTGTTGGGAGTTTTGTTAAGTGAGTGGTCTTTGGCTCTTGGAGGGAGCATTGTCTGCCCAGATAAAATTTCATATAAATCATATATTTGTAAATAGACTTAGGTGTATTATGGTTTTGTTTTTGTTTTATTAGCTAGTTAGTACTATGATTCCTTATAGCATTTTTTTGGACAACTTTATTGTTATTTTGACCTCTTATTTCTTTCTTTTGTATTTATCTCCCTTCTTCCTCTTTATAGCCTCCCCAATTTGCTTACCTGTATTTTAATCTTGATCTTAATTTTAGTAATTTGACTTTCCCTTTTTACTCTTAAAGTATTGTCAGCTGGAAGTGGTGATGCATTTTTTTAATCTCAGTGCTCAGGAGGCAGAGGCAGGTGGATCTCTGAGTTCAAGGACAGCCTGGTCTACAGAGTGAGTTCTAGGCTAGCTGGGGATATGTAGTGAGACTGTCTCAAAAAAAAAGTATTGTTCAGTTCTAAATGCATGTTTTAACTTACCATAATTTATGTCTGTTAAAAATATATTACTGCTGAATTATTACAAAGCTCTAATATTAAAATGTCTCATTTATAATTTTATGCCTATTTATTTCAGGGATGGAGAAAGACACCATAGTCATAAAAGAAGAAAACAAAAAATATAAACAGAAAGTGACTGCATTAATTATGCTTATGGATAAATATGCTGATGTTTTAATTATAATCTTTGCATAGGATAAAATGGCTGTTATGATTGTATAATACTGATTATTTTAATAAATGCTTCAAACCATGAATCAAAATTGTACCCTACATGTTTACATTTTCCTTAATATTTTAATAGATTCTTATTACTATTTGTTTCATCATGTTGGTAATTTATCAGTTTTCTTTTTTTTACAAATCAGTACTTGAAATAGGTAAATTATCCATGAAAACATTCTCATTGTAAAAAGTTAAAGGTGAGGCTAGATTCTACCCTAGCAGTAACTGCTGTTTATCACTGCACTGGAGCGTTGTAATAGGGCAAAATAATCTAATTGTCTTTCTGAATGGGGAATGGCCTGGCTAAATGAACTATGGTGTAGTTAGTCATAGGTTAAATTTCTGTATTAGCATTAAAAGGAATAGCCTTGATCTGTGTTCACATGGATAGATCTTTAAAATGTAATGCTACGGGGGAATTGCAAGTGGTAGGTATATTTAAGTTAGCATTAGATCCATGTGCAAAACAGTACTATATATTTCTTATGGATATATATGTATATGATTATATTTTAAAGGTTTATTAGAAGACATTCCAAATTCCTAATTATATGTGGGAAAAGATATAGAAATAATTGGGAGAGATAACAGGGTTGGGAGGTTGGTCAAAGGGAACTTGGGCTTGTCAACAATATCAATAATATATACTTATGTTTCATTTGATAATTAAAAATTACTATAATTTTTGTGTCTTGATGGATTGAAATACTGTGTGCACACACTAAAATGTGCTTATTTTAAATAATCCCATCAAGTGTGACTGGTGTATGTCTGCATAAGCACCGTAGGTGTGGAGTGATCTGCTGCCTCCAGAAGTTTTGTACCTGCCATACGCTTTCTCTACCCGACACAGGGCAACCAGAGCTCTGGTTTTGTTACTATCGGTTAGATTTCTCTTTCCTACAGCTTTGGCAGTGCAATGCCCCAATGTGAGCTCTCCCTTTGACACAGGGGTGTTTGTGTTTGTGTTTTTGAGCCCAGGTTGGCTCTGAATTTGAATTCTTGTGTCAGTCTTCCAAGTGCTGGGGTTATAGGCTGTGCCACCATGCTTGGTGGCTTCACGTTTTGGGTATTGATCCTGCTGTGTATGTTGATAGCACATTCCTTTTTGTTGATGGATACTGTGTTCTGTTTTATCTAGATCAGTTGGGTCCAGTGCATTAAGTGTTAAGTGTCTCTCACTTAAATTATCAGTAGCCTGGACATTTGAAACCCAAGTAAAGATTGCATTTCCAAACAGAAATAAAAGATTACTTGAATAAGTAGTTAACAAAGATTGATTGAATTTTGACCAGATTTACTCTTAAGTTCCATGCATGAGAGAGAGGTTCAGCTCTTTTTGTTTTTCTAATACGTGCTTTGCTGTATATCCCACACTGGCCTTAAACCCAATAACAGTCCTTCCGCCTCAGCCCACCCAGTGCTGGGATTACAGCTGTGCACCACTCACTACACACACTGGTTTTTACAAGTTAGAAATAACCGGTCATTTTCTAATATGACGTTCCATTGGACAAATTTTTGGAATTCAGGTTTTAAAGCACCTTCTCCCTCCTTTATGGTATTGGCTTTGAACCTAGGGCCATGTGTGTGCTAAGCATGTGTCCTACTACTGTGGTAGAGCACTCGGCCCTGAAACTCAGAACCTCAAAGCCCAAGGCTGGGGAAATAGCTTAGTCAAGTCCTCGCCATGTTGAGTTCCATCCCCAGAACCCATGGCTGGTTTATAATCCAGCTCCAGGAAAATAGAGATAGGTAAGTCCCTGGGGTTTGCTGGCCTGCCAGCCTAGCTTATGTGGTGAGCTCCATGTTCACTGAGACAGAAGCAAGACAAGGTGGATGCTGCCTAGAAGTGGGCCTCTGGCCTCCACATGCATGCACGTAGATGTGAAGGTACACCCACACACAGAACACACCAAACCCAAGGGCCTAGGAGTTACAGTACTAACCACACAGAATTGCTGCTTTTGTAAGTTAGAACCATACAAATTACTAGCAGTTTAACATTGTATGCTCAACTTACAATTTTGTTTTAAATTATGATTTCTGCCACTAGGAGAAACTGAAAAGTAAGACTGGATAGCTTATTTAGATATTTTATAGAACAAATAAACGGAAAGGAGTGGTATGGAGGAAATGGGGACAGATAGGACAGGATGGAGAAAGGAAAAGAACTAAGATGTAGGTAAAGTTCCTTACAGGTTTGTAAGTGTGTAATCCGCTGATGTGGAGTTAGGTGAATCGAGAACACAGGTACTTGGGCCGCTTTTCATACTGTTTGTGCTGCGGACTGCGGCATTAATGACCTCGAGAGCAAGGCTTCTATGACTGTAGCTCCTGGGCCTGGCACTCAGCAGCTGTTCATTTGTTATTTTAAATCCGACAGAGGCATCTTCAGACCCCACATCTTGCACTTAGTATTGATTTATGAGCTGCTGCTGTTAGTCATTGCTCTAGTTGTCCTCTCCCCCTTTTGTGTGTGCTGTGATCAAACCCACGCTCTTATTCACACATACATACACTAGGCAAGTGCTTTACCACCAATCGGCATCCCAGCATTTCTGTTTTAAAGACAGTCTCACTATGGAGCCCAGGCTAGCATCAGATTCATAGTCCTGTCTCTACCTCCAGCTTCTGTGCCTGTTTAGGCCTGACTCTCCCACCATTTCCAACCTCTCACAATATTTTTTTTTTCTTCCTGAACTTTGTTAAATGCACTAAGAATAGTTAATGCTTACTATGTACCTAGTGGCCAACTTCTGAGACTTCAAACACCAATTTGATGGCACATGCTTTTAGTCCCAGCACACAGGATGCTGAAACAGAAGGGTTGCTTGAACACAGGGAAACCCTGACTCCTCAGTCATGGGTGCTTACTCTGAGTAACTGGTCTTGCATTCTTTTTTAGGTAAGAATGAGGCAAGGTATGGCTTCCAGTCACAGGAAGAATTTCTCTAATAGAATGATAAAAGCAGCTGAGAATTGATTTATAGGCAGAAGGTAGCAGGTACATCAAGAACCTAATACTCAGAGGCTGACACAAAAGGATTGCTTGGCCCTCAAAGTTTGAAACTGGCCTTGGCAGCATAGTGAGATTTAATAAAAATATTAAGTGTATAGGTTTAAAACACCAAGGGTATAACAAGAATTTAAACTATGTTGTGAAGCAAGGAGTTGGGAGAGGAAAATTATTGCCTTAATTAATGTTTAAAGGTTTGTAAACAGCTTGTACACACGTTCTATGATTTGCTTGCATGTCTACAGAAGGTTGGTAGGGGAAATAAGCTTAACTCCCATTTTCAAGGACAGACATTGAGAGACCTGGGAAGAGGTATGCTCATGTATGAAGGAGAACTTGGGGATCAGACACTGAAGTGTCTCCTGCCTGTACTACTCACGAGTGTCCCCAAGGTGGCTATGTACCTGAAGGGCACTCAGTGAGCATGGCTGATTCAGTTGAAAGAACCCTTGTTATCTCCTCTAACCCTTCCTTCTCGCAGTTCTCATCAAGGTTCCATTATGTTCAAGCTGGGCTTGAAGTCATGATTCCTGTCTCCACCCTCTTGAGTAGATGGAGGGCCTGGCTGCAGGCATGTGCCACCATGATCATGTGTTCACTGAATGAAACAAATATAAGTCTTAAAATTGTTCTGGGGGAGCAAGGAGAAAGTTTTCAGAACTTCTGAAATGTCTAGGGCTTGATTGATCGTTAAGGAGCCGCAGTGTGGGGAGATACAGCTTGCAGTGAATCTGCCGCAAGAGTTTAAAAGGCAGCTGTCCTCCTTCAACACAACATAACTTTGCCTACCTTATCTAGGAATTTCACTTTCTCAGCTACTTTGTTAGTCAGCAACTTCAAAAGCCTGTGATTCTGCTGGGTCAGTGACAGTGGGCCCGGTCCTGGTACACTCTTTGTTTTCTATTTCACTCTTGACTAAAGCAGCAGGGCCAAGCAACCGTGGATTGAAAAGCTCTGAACTCATGAACTGAGATGAAGTTTTTGACCTTGTTTAAGTAATTTTCTCAGGTGTTTTGCCACATTAATGGGAAGCTGGCTAGCAAATAATACAAACAGGTCCTTTGAAAAAAGGAACCATTTGATAACATATTTTTCTTTCTAAATATTTATTTAGCAGCTGGAGAGATGGCTCAGTGCTTAAGAGCACTTATTGCTCTTTCTAGAGGGCCAGAGGTCCGTTCTCAGCAGCTACATGTTGGCTTACAACCACCCATAACTCCTGTCCCTGGAGATCTGAATCCCTTTTCTGTCCACCTCCGGCACCAGGCACTATATAGCTCTGGCTGTCATGGAACTCACAGATCCTCCTGTCTGCATCCCAAGTGCTGGAATTAAAAGTGTGTACCACTATGCCCTGCAAAACCCAGCTCTTCATTTAACGGAGGCATGGTCTCACTCTGCAGCCCCTAACTAGCCTAGAATTCACTATGTAGCCTAGGTTGGCCTTGAACTCATGGTGATCTTTATACCTTGAATCTGAAGTGGAGATTATATGCATGTCCCACCATGCCTGGTTAGGAATCATTATACTAAAAGAAATCATATACCACACATGTTTTCTGCATTATTTCTCTCCATCATGACAGTACTCATGGTAGATTATTTAGTTTTATTGCCCCCTGGATTTTGTTTGTGACCTAGTAAGTTTAGCCAGTGCTATCAGCATGAACTTGGAAGTGGAACTATTCCAATGGAGCATGGTAGGCTCACCAATGGCCACACACCTGAAGACGATAACTACCCCTCCACCAGGTAGGGTCTCGTGAGTCCCTTACTCATCCATGACAGGGTCAGTCTTGTACAGGAAAGTCATTGAGCCTTGAACAGGCTTTTGCCACATGCCAACTCTTCGGCAGTCTCCCTGATCACCCTTCTCTTCCTTCTCCCACTCTGGACATTCACTTTGCTGATTCCTGTGTGTATCATACCCTGTATCTGTCCCTCAGCAGACACTGCTGGTCTTGCTTCTCAACTGTTCCAGACAATATTCTCTGCACCTAGCTCTCTTATGCT